ACCCCAACTGCAGAGCAAGAAAGGGAGGGAGAGGAGGCTTACATACCTTCCAGTTTTGACTGAAGAAGAACTTGAGGTTAGGCAGTTTCCCTGTACTGGCCACCAAAATGATGCAGTTCAGGGATTCAGGGGTGCTGGGACCCCAAAATCACAACACGTGGGTCCTGTCCACAAGAATTCAACCCAAGCCTTCTTTCAGCCAAAGACAAGGTTTATTAGAACATCTGCAATTTGGGCAGACTCTTAAGGAGTCTGAAAGTAAGCTATTGGCTAGATTATGAGAATCTAAGCAGTGGCTAGATTTTAGGAATCTGAGCCCAATTGTATTTTTTAAGGACTTGTTTTCTCCAGTGCACTTTTTTTCCCATTTGGTCAATTCTATTTTTCTAAAGACTTGTTTTCAACAGTCAATTTTTGTTCTTCCTTTCAAAAGCTACTGACTCTCTCTTGCATACCTCTCATTTCCTTTCCCAAGTTTTCTTCTACCACTCTTACTTGACTTTTAAAATCTTTCTTGAGCTCTTCCAAGAAGGCTTTTTGGGCTTGAGACCAGTTCATATTCCCCTTTGAGGTTTTGGATGTGGGTATGCTGACAATGTTGTTCTCTTATGAATTTGTGCCTTGATCTTCCTTATCCCCATAACAAGAATCTATGGTCATTGTCCATTTCTGCTTTATGCTCATGGTGTTTGCCTATTTCCTGACTTCAAAAAAAAAAAGTTGAGCTATCCTGCTGGAGTGTAGGGGGCACTGACCCAAGCTTCTTGTGCTGGGAGACTGGGACCTAGTCACTGGCTTTTTGTGCTGGGGCCTCAGGTGCTGGCAGATGGAGGCTGTAAGGATCTGGCAGCTTACCTGATACTCAGCTGAGGTCAGAAGCACTGAAGCTCTCAGGGTGAGGATTGGTAGTTTGGCCCCTAGAGGACACCTGCTCATCTGGGCTTCTTTAAAGCACTCAAATGTTTGGCTGCTAGAGGATATCTGCCAGCCTGGAGTTGTGCTGAAGCACCAGGAGATTTGGCTACTGGGGAAGATGGGCACAGATGGTGGTGGTGGTAGTGGTGGTGGTGGTTTTCTGAGCTGGTGTCTACCAGTTCCCCAGCTGTGCTGAGGCACTCAGGAGTCCCAGTATTTGGTGCTTGCCTGCTCTATCACCATGGGGCTCAGGATCTCCTGCTTGTTTGCTGAGGTGTGGCTTGCCACTGGCTTGCTGGGATACCTCCCATACTGTACTGCTCCCCATCACCCAGAGCAAAAGGGGCCTTTCCCATTAATCCCCCAATCTTCCTGGACTATGAAACTGCTGCACCTCATCTTTCTACTGGCTCAGCTGTTCGAGGGTTTTTCCTGGGGTAATATTTTCTGGGCTTTCAGCGGTCAATAAGGGAGGGTGAGAGCAACTTACTTCTTACTCCACCATCTTGGCTCCCAGAAATCCCTAATGCCAAATGATTTTGATAATTATTGCTTTGTATTATATTTTGAGATCTATTACTGTCCCCTTCTTTCTCATACTTTTCATCATTCCCCTGAGATTCTTAAACTTTTCCCCCAACATGAATTCTGTATTTTTTTCTACTTTATAAAGTAACCATTTGGTAGTATTATTTTATGGAACTGAAAAAAGTAAATTAATTCAGGAAATATTTTATATTTAATGACATTAACATAGTGAAACCATGAATGATTAATTTCTCTCTCTGATTCAGCAGTTCTCGAATTGTAGTCTAAAAAATCTTGGTGGGGGGAGACAGCTAGGTGGTACGGTGAATAGAGCACTGGCCCTGGATTCAGGAGGACTTAAGTTCAAACCCGGCCTCAGACATAACACTTACTAGCTGTGTGACCCTGGGCAAGTCACTTAGCCCCCATTGTCCAACCAAAAAAAAAATGAAACCTTGCTACTCCCCAAGGTCCTTTTAGGGGGTCCACAAGGTCTAAAATTTTTCATGATAATATCAATATGCTAATTTTTAATCAGATACAGATAGATAGAAAGATATGATCAAAATAAAATCTCTTTCAGCATGTCCTCAACGATTGAATCTAAAGATGTCTGGAGGCCATACGTTTGATAACTGCTGCTCTAATTATTTGAGGCTATCTTAATTTATAGAGTACTTTTGTAGTTATATTTATATGATCCCTGGGTATATGTCTTGGTGATAGGACTCCCAAACATTTCGTATTTTCTTTTAACCAATTTTTTGTGTGAATTTGTGTGCATGCATATGTGTGTACATGTGTAACCCTGTTTGAGCTGTTCTAAGAATGAACTTCATGTGATGGCAGTTCCTCCCACCTTCTTCCTTCAGATTCAGATATGCTTTTTCCGTCACACTCTAGTTATGAGAAACATTAAGTTCTTCCTTCTTCCTCCTCATCTCTTCCTTAGTGTATTCTTTTCTCTCCCAATCAAAACAGGACTAAATGATCCCTCTCCCTGTCTGATGGTTTGGCCCTCTGCCAGGCTTATTTACTTCTCAGAATCCTAAAAACTGATTTTAAAGAGATATGTTTCCTGTGTCCCATTAGATGTAGGCACTTAATCACCATCTGATCACTTCTAATTCCAAATCTACTTCATTTTTTGGGTGTCTCTTTCTTTTCAGAGTTCTTAAGATTTTCAGATTGGTTGTTATTGTGTGCGTATAATTTTTTTCTTGTTCTATTCTCTGAAATTGTATCTTTTGTTATTTTTAAGGAACACCAATATTTATTCACAATCATAATTTATTCAACTATTTCCCAACTCAGTTCTTATCCACTAAACATACATATACAAACACACACATACACACATGCATGTACACATACATGTACCCATACATATCTGTTCTTTTCCAATCTAAGCTCCTTTAACATTTGTCATTTTCTCTTTTTTTGTCATTCTTGCCTATATGATAGGCTTCAGGTAGAAGTTCAGAGTTGTTTGAATTTGCATCTGGATCATGTTTTTTGTATATCTATTAATAGCTTGGATTTATTCCTTTGAAAACTTCCTGTACATATCCTTTCTCCATTTATCGATTGGAGAACAACTTATTCTTATTAATTCAAATCAATTGTTTATGTATCTTGAAAATGAGAACCTTATCAGAGAAATTTGCTGAAAATATTTGTCTTCAGCTGTATTGGTTTCGTTTGCGCAAAGAATTCTAGTTTTTTGTAATCAAAATTAAAAAATTTATCTCCTATGATATTTTCTATATTTTCATTAAGCATTCCTCCATACATGCATCCAGAATGTAATTTCTTCCTTGTTCCTCTATTTTTATGTGACTTATTATATCAAAATCTTGAGTCTTGAAGTCTTGGTAGAGGGTTAGAGGTGATGATCTGAGCCTAATTTCTGCTGAAAGAATTTCTAGTTTTTTCATATATATATATATATATATATATATATATATATATATATATATATATATATATATATATACATATATATATATATGAATACATAGTATTTATAAATATGAATATATAGTATTTATATATATTTCACACACATATGTATGTGTATAGTGTGTATATTTCCATATGTGTATGTAGGTACATACATATTTATGTGCATATATGTATATGTATGTGTGTGTATATCCATACTTAATTGTAGCCTTCAGCATGAGGTCGGGAGGGGGAAAAGGAACAAGGTAAAAAGTGAATTGCAGAGAACAAAAAAAAACTTACAAGGAAGCAAAGGACAGCCCTCAAAACAATGCATAGCATTTATTATAAAGGCTTTCTTGAAATGGAAATTTATTACTGTATATTTTGAATCCTGTCTTATGTTCTGTTCTGCCTATGGCAACTGTCTAAGAAAGTACCTGGCCCCATTTAAGAAAAAAACATAGATAAATGGGTTATTTTATTACCATGAAATATAATAATTATTTAACAGATCCTTAAATGTGTGTCAGATGCTGTAAGATTTAGTTCATTAAAACAAGCTCTATATCTGTATGCTCAGCCAACAGAGTAAACTCTTATTATCTATTCACACCTTCAAAAATTTAGAAACAATTAGGACTAGGTATTTACTCATTTCAGTCATTTCAATTCAATATGAAATTTCAGAACATACCTCCTATCAGGTAGGCACTTTGTTAGATGTGCAGGAGGATATACAGAGGATACACAGGTAAATGAGAAATGTTTGTGTGTGTATATATATATATATATATATATATGTATACACACATATGTATATACATATATAAATCCTACTGTCAAGTGCCTGTTGGTCTTTAAATTTTTATTCTAAAGAAATTATAGGACAAGTTATTTATATTTGAACTGTAACAACTCATTTGAAAAACAGTTTTCTTAATTGTTATCCTCATTAGGCTATGACTTGGAAGAAAATCAACATGTCTTCTTCCTCACCACCCTACACCCCCACCCCACCATTTGCACTCCCATACCCTTTTCTACATTTACAAATCAGAAAACTAGTCCAAGAGAATATTCTTTTGAGTTACCACAAGCCAATTTTGCTTTACTTTTCTCTGTGTCCATGCTGAAGATAGAGCCCAGGGATTCCTTGATACTTTTCAACTGTTTTGTGGAGTCAGATATATTATTTTAAGGAATATTACATAAAAGTTTTTTAGAAATGAAGCCTTCAGCCAGTCTCAATCCCAACTCATCTTTTTTTTTTTTCTTTTAGCTCAAATGAAATCTATTCTGCTCTGAAAATGGCCTCTTGGCTTTTGCTAGAGTAGCTGCCAACTGGGAAATTATAGCATCCAGCCTAGGTGTCCTGGGGGGATAGTTGGAATAGAAGCAGGACAGGTCTAGGTTATTCAGGGGTCAATCAGAATACCTTGATATATTCTGCAAAAGTACATGGGTGGGCAGGTAGATAAGTTGATTGGAGATGGCTGTAACAACAGGGCCCAGTAAAAGAAAAAAAATTGGAGCCTTTGAAATTTCTGTTGAATGGAAACTCTCAGAAGAGATTGGTGGAGAATTTTCATGGATTTTGTTTCTTTTCTTAGTGAAAGAGACTGTGTACAAATCCATCTCAAAGAAATGATCTGCCTGGAAGAGGAATTTGAAAGGTGATGGCAATCAACTTGAACTCAGAAAAGCATCATCGTATAGTTTTAAGGTAAGGGTTTTTACCTGGGCTCAGTGGGGCTCCAAGGGCACATGGATAGAGTTCAGAGGGTCTATGTACTTGGATGGAGTGGATTATAGTTTTATTTGCACTAACCTCCTAAAAATTAAATATTTCTTTAAATTTTAAATGAAGATAACATACATTATTCTGAGTAGGAGTCCATAGTCTTCTCCAGAATGGCAAAGGGATTTATGACACAAAATAGTTGAAGAACTCCTGTTATAATCCATCTTCCTAGTCTCACACTATTTCCCTTTACACACCTTATACTCAAGGCAATGGCATTACCATTGTTGCCTGAGTATATCCTTGCCACTTGCCTCCCTCTGTGCGTTTTCTCGTGCTACTCCTCACACCTGATATAGGCCCACTTCCCACTACCTGCCATCCACCCATCTATAGACTCTTTCCCATGTATTTCCTCCTGACCCATCTGTCAGAAATAATTTTAAAAGAGATTTTCACATGTTTCTTTCTAGTATATGCAGACTGTGCAGTTCTCCCTGCTTTCACCTCATTCTTGGTTGCAAACTTTTGAAGACGAGTGTTAAATGTATGCACACCTAATAAGAACAGTAACTAAAAATTTGAAAGGAAAAGTTAACTGAATTGTAAAAGAATATGGATGAAAAATGTAGTAGGAGATTTCCAGAACTCATTTTATGAAGTGATACCTCATATGTTAAGGTCCTTTTGGATACTGTCAATGGTAGTGCTCTCTTTCCCCTACACAAAATTACTTTGTATGTATTTTATATATACTTACATGTATATATGTTATTTCTTCAAGTGTGACATAAGTTCATGGAGGGCACGGATCTTTTTTGCATTTTCGTTTTTGTGTCACTAGAAACTAATACAATGTCTAGTACATAGCAAGTATTTTTGGTGAATCTAATTCATTCACTTTAATTTTCCAGTGTGAATTCTTAACCCAAATATTTCTGAGTAACTGCAGGTCTCACTTAGGCACTAAAGACATCCAGGTCTTGATGCAAATGACATAATGTTATCAGGAAATTAAAACATCTAGAAGAACTCACCATCTATAGAGACTATTTCTACATTACGGATAATGCCTTGCCAAGGCATTAAAAAAAAAGCTTAAGACATCATTTTACTAAAACCATGTCACATCTTTAGTAGACCATACCTTCTCTTAAACATTGTACGTGACTCCTAAGATAAAAGGTTCCAAATTCTGTCTTAGAGAATCTAATACAAACCATTTATGACCAGCAATCCTCTCTAAATCACTCTTAAGATGTTGTCATCTAGCTTTTACTACATGACCTCAAGGTTGATAGAACTCCCACAAAGCCATTTCACTCTGGATAGCTGTAATTGTCAGAATAGCAGCTAAGTAGCACAACATATAATTCGCCAGGCCTAGAGTCAGGAAGACCTGAGTTCAAATCCCACCTCAGGCATAGCTGTGTGGCCCTGGGCAAGATACTTAACCTTGTTTGCTTTAATTTCCTCATCTGTAAAATGAGCTGGAGAATGAAATGGCAAATCATTCCAGTATCACTGCCAAGAGAACTCCAAATAGAGTCACAAAGTCAGATACGACTGAAACAACACAACAACATTTTTTCCCCTTTATATCAAGCAAAAATATGACTATCTGAAACCTCTTCTCATTGTTCTTAGTTCAGCCCTCTAGGACCATGAAGAACAAGTCTAATCCTTTTTTTTCCTATGTAATAGACTTCCATCTATTCAAAGATAATTTTCACATCTCCCAAGTCCTCTTTTCTCCAAATTAAACACTGATTCAACGGATTCACATATAGCAGAGCCTTGTCACCACTATGATTGACACATAGTAGGTGCTAAATAAATGCTTGTTGACTTGTTGACTTTCTGGTCTTATTCTTCTAGATATTTGTCAGCTTATCTAAGTCATTTTCAAAAATGCTACCAGGAGCTTAGCACAATAGAGTGTAACCAGGAAAGTATATAGTAGGCTTATCACCTTCCTTGCTTTGTATACTACGCCTCACAACTGAGACTAAGATCACATTATTTTGTTTGCCAAATCACACAGTTGGGCACATATTTATCTTGTAGCCCACTAAAAGCTTGAGTTATTTTTTATTAGACTTGATGTCTATTCATGCCTCTCCCATCCTATACTCAAGTTGATTTTTTTAATCTAGGTATAGGATGTTCTTCCACTAACAGATATTTGGAGATATCTGAATTGGAGATATGCTGAATTGCTTAGTACCTTAATAAAATACACTGTTAGATAAATTCTAATCATAGAGCAACATGACATTGAAAAGTTTCAAAGTGTTTTACAAACATTACTCCATTTAAGCTTCACATGTAACATATACATATAGCAAATAAAAGACAAAAATGCTTAAAGGGAGGCTAAAGGGTGGCCTGATTTAAAATCTAAGCCTCACACGTTACTAACTGCATGACTATGGGCAAGTCATTTACTTTTGTCTTCCTCAGTTTCCTCAACTATAAAATAGGGATGCAGTCAGTCCATGGATATTTGTGGGAAATGGCCATATACAAATTAGTTAAAACAAATGAGGGTTACAAAATGCAAACAATCCACTTACTAAAATGATGTAAAAAATCTTTTAAAAACAGAGGATGCTAAAATAATTCTGCTATATAAGGAATGTTGATAATTTGATAATTACTTCTCAAAATAGGAATTTTAGGAAATTTTTCGTTTGGTAAATCAGCATTAAGTAAAATAGGGAAAATGAGCTAAAATCAAAATTAACCCATGCTGGAATTTTCAAGGGAAAGAGCTGTTGCCACCTCCATAGCTAGACAGTACAGTATAATATTGCCAGACAAAACAGTAGGGAAAAAGGGAGGTCCCCAAACTTTACCAGTAAGATAGCAGACTGAATCTTGGGCTTCTGTCTGTGCTAAGGAAGATGTTAAAGAGATTTTTCCAGTTCCGCCAAATGTCTTTTGAAGCACCTGAGACTACTAGACCAAATAGTGAAACATTTGCAAGTGTTCTGGACCTAATGAACAAATTAGATATAAAAAATACTACCAATGCTGGATGGCATCTACCCCAAGAGTTCTGAAGAAATCCCCTTAATGAGTTAGTCCTTGGCCTCTCACCTTTATCTTAGTTACAAACTCTTTCACTCTGGCATTTTTAGCTCTTACAGCCCCAACTGTTACTTTTATGGCAGATAGTCTTGTGTGCCATCTACCACACTGTTGAGCATTTACCTGAAAATTTTGTGATCAAGCATAAGACATTATCCTTTACTGATGGAAAGGAGATGTAAACTAATGATTTTGAAATCCCAGTTTAATGAGCATGAGGAGTAGATATTCAACAAGCATTTTTTTCAAGGACCCTCCACCTCTTGGACATCCTATGGAGAAGAGGAGGTATGGCCAGCTTCTACATTCTATCATTTTGGATGCTAATCACATCTGGTCTTGGGATAATTATTGTGGGGAGCAAAAGCCACCTGCAATCACCAAAATAATTTAATGTATAAATAAGCCTCAAGTAAGCAACTTTCAGAACAATAGAAACTAGAGAAAAAAGCAAAAGGAGTGAGACCTAAATGAGAAGTTGCTGAAAGATCCTGATGCTCTTCCTTTCTAATTGGTGCCTGGTATTCAGATTTTTTCATTTCATAGTGTGAGGAGCCAAGAGAGGAAATGAAAGGAAAAGATTTAAGATAGTTTAAACATATGATTGCCTTTGCTACTGCATTTTGTCTTCATTCAATGTGCTTATTTAAGTGACACACAAGGACCAGCTCCCCTCCGCACAGTTGCCAAAGTGCTAAACTCTTCATTGGTTTTGTTTCCTGGGTTCCAGCTGTCTTTAATATCTTTATGAAAAGCCAGACACCCAGTACCCCAAACAGAGAAAAGATTAGCTCAGATTTCTGGAAAAGCCATTTCCCAGGGCTATCAACTTTATTTGGATGGTATGGGTTAAGGCAGATCATTGCAGGAGGAAGCAGCTATGCACCCAAAAGTCAGAGTCTGAGAAAAGTGGTCAAGTGAATAGGGGCATTGCTTCAGGTTTTTTTTTTCTTTGTTTAGCTACAAGAAGGAAAGAAGCCCTGTTGGGAGTAGAGAAGAAATGTGGAAAGAAAGAAACCTGAAACCCATTTAGAAGAGAATATTTTGCCCCACATATTTAATTTGCTTCACTGACCTATTTGCTACACATGATGTAGCCATCCTCCCACCTCACCTGTTTGTTCTTTAACCCCTCCCAACACACCCTGGTCCTTCCCATCTACCCCACCAAATCCTACCCATTCTTCAAAACTCAGCTTACATTCCTTCTTCTTTGATTAATCATGTTCCCAGAAGGGGGACCAAAACAAATATTGTCAATGGGGTGTGGGAAGTCACTGGTCTGATATATTTTAAGATTCTAATTGAGTCTCAGATTGCATCTAGTGATGACTTATGGATTATGGATCTAGCACAACGGTGTTAGGTCCCAAGGATCACCCCTGAGCAAATAGCAATGCCTGGCAAGAATAGGAAGACTTGGATTCAAATTCCACCTCTGACACATTGCTGTCTGTGCAATCTTGACCAAGTTACTTAAATTCCCTAGCACTGTTTCCTCATCTTTAAATGAGGAAGTTGACTAGATTGCCTCTGAGGTACCTTTAAGGTTTAGCTCTATGGTCTTATAATCTTAAAGTGGGAAGGTCAGTGTAAAAATGTTATTCCAAGAGAAACCAGTAAATCACTGCAATTCTTAACAGTTTTCAGGGTAAATCATAATGTATTGTACGTTCATTTAAAGAATCTAAGAACTCACTTTTTTCATACCAACAGATGTAGCAAAAATAATTTCAGTTTGTTTCTTTCCTGCCTGTGAAAGTCAGCATAATGTATTGTCCAGAGTATTGGATTTGGAGCCAAAAAGGCCTTGGTTTGAAGCCTGCCTTTTGACATTTAACTAGTTGCATGACCTTGCATAAGTAACTTATCTTTCTGAGTTTCAGAAA